CGGCATCGGCAGGCGGACTCCCAACCACTGTGCCACCAGGGAAGCCCTAAAATATATATTTTGAAATTTTCTTAAAATTATAATGACATTGTTTTTTAAACCTCAAATATTACCTTGATGAAATAGTTTTTTACTTTCTGTTTTTGTTTTTTGTTGGAGGGGGTAGTTAGGCAGGGTCTTAATTTGTGTTGGCTGTGTTCATGTACAGTTAACATACTTCACCTGAAGGATTACTTGCTAATTATTGTTGATACTGTTCTGTTTCATTTGAATGCCTAATCCTATGCTTCTCTATTCATCCGGTACATCTCATGCCAGCTATCTCAAGCTGCCCCTCCATGATGTAATTTCCTTCCTTTGAGCTCTCAATGCACTCGTTTTTTTTTTTTTTTTAACCACTTTTATGATTTGTTGCTTTCTACTTAATTGTTGGGTTTTTTTCTTTTTCTTTTTTTGCGGTACGCGGGCCTCCCACCGCTGCGGCCTCCCCCGCCGCGGAGCACAGGCTCCAGACGTGCAGGCCCAGCAGCCACGGCTCACGGGCCCAGCTGATCTGCGGCACGCGGGATCCCCTCAGACCGGGGCATGAACCCCCGTCCCCTGCATCGGCAGGTGGACTCTCAACCACCGCGCCACCAGGGAAGCCCTAATTGTTGTTTTTTAAGCCTATCCTGTCTTCCCCATAGACAATAAGTAGTTTAAGGTCAGAGTCTGGTGAAACTTTATGTTCTCATAGTGCTTAGCATAATTCCTGGTATGCCATAAGTGTTATAAGTGTGCTTTTCTTGCTTAATCAAAAAAAGGTTACTCACTTGAAAACCTTTTCCATATTTTGGTTAATCAATATTTTGTCTTCATATTTTGTGAGAGTGTTAATAAGATCATTGATTCACTCTCTTTACGTAACCCAAAATGGAAGTGGCTAATGTACTACTTAGTGGCCCTAGCCTCTTCGTCCCCCTTCATACACACTGCCAGAAGTTTATTGTAGTAGTTTTCAGCCAATAACCACAATTTCAATGTTCCTCCAAAAGACCTGTTGCCGTGACACATACCAACAGCCCTCGTGTAAACTACTTGAAAGCAATCGCCAACCACATCCATTTTAGGAAAGCCCCAAACAAAAACTTATCATTGAAATCCTCTTTAAAGTACTGACAGAAAAGACATTCCTGACTAAAACATTTGAGGTTTTTTTTTTAATGTACATTTTAACAGATAAAACTACCATCATCTATATCTACATGGCTTACTTCATCGAAACTATAGTAGTCTCGCCTTAATTGCAGTTTCACTCTCTGTGGTTTCGGTTACCTTCAACCAGTCAACCATGGTCTGAAATACTAAATGGAAGATTCCAGAAATAAGCAATTTATATGTTTTAAATCTCACACCATTCTGTGTAGTGCCTGGGACGTGAATCATCCCTTTGTCCAGCTTATCCCACCCATTAGTCACTTAGTGGCATCTCAGTTATCAGTGCTTATGTTCAAGTAACCCTTTTTACTTAATAATGGTCCCAAAGTGCTGCAATTTAGATATGCTGAAGAGAAACTGCAAACTGCTTCCTTTAAAGTGAAAAGGTGAAAGTTCTCAATAAGGAAAGAAAAAAAATTGTATGCTGAGGTTGCTAAGATCTGTGGTCAGAACGAATCTTCTATCCATGAAATTGTGAAGGAAAAAGAAATTCGTGCTTGTTTTGCTGTCAAACTGCAAAACAAACCTGAAACTGCAAAAGTTATGGCCACAGTGCAGATAAGTACTTGGTTAAAATGGAAAAGGTGTTAACTGTGTTAAGTTATTTTGAGAGAGAGTGAGGGAGAGAGACACCACATTCAGAAAATTTTTGTTGTAGTATGGTTAAAATTGTTCTATTTTATTATTAGTTATTGTTGTTTATCTCTTACTGTGCCTAATTTATACATTAAACTTTATTGTAGGTATGTATGTGCAGGAAAAAACCGTATATGTCAAGTTCGGTACTATGGTTTCAGGCAGTTTCTACTGGGGGGAGGTCTTGGAACGTATCACCTGTGGATAAGGGGGGACTGCTGTATTCTTTAAAGTCATCAGTAGTCATTGCCTTATGTGCTATTTATCGGTAAATCCTATCTACTGATAAGCATTCATTTTAATGTAATGGGGTGGTGTATTTGGTATCTTTGACAACAGAAACAGTGGTGTCTGTGTCTCACTGTTTGGTGAGAAACTTATGTTGCATTGTTATGTGGTTGTGTTTGCTTTGTTTGGGTTTTTTGTTTTTTATGTGGGGGTGAATGTTTTGAAGTGCTATTTTAAAAGCATCTATGAGTTTTGAGGGGTTTTATTTATTTATTTTATAAATTTATTTATTTATTTTTGGCTGTGTTGGGTCTTCATTGCTGCGCACGGGCCTTCTCTGGTTGCGGCGAGCGGGGGCTGCCCTTCATTGTGGCGCATGGGCTTCTCATTGCGGTGGCTTCTCTTGTTGTGGAGCACAGTCTCTAGGCATGCGGGCTTCAGTAGTTGTAGCACCTGGGCTCAGTAGCTGTGGCTCCCGGGGCCTCAGCTTTTTTGTCTGTATGTAATGGACATAATAATAATTTGTTCAGGGGATTCCGTGGTGGTCCAATGGTTAGGACTGAGCACTTTCACTGCTGTGGCCCTGGGTTCAATCCTTGGTCAGGGAACTAAGATCCCACAAGCCACGTGGCACAGCCACACACACAAAAAAAAATAATAATGTTTTGTTCGATCTACCTCAGGGACTATATGCACAAATCCTTTTTCTTCCAATGATTACATAATATAATGCCCTAAAAGTATACTTCCTCCTTGATGAAAATAGATACCACAAGATAATGAAGTGATACTTTGTGTATTTCTGTACTGAGAACTAGCTATTAATCTAAAATTTAGATGAAAATATGCACAATCATCTTTATGATACAAGAGTAAAAAAGGATTTCTTAACCAAAGATTAAAAGTGGACTAAAACAAAACAACTGGTAAATTCTCAATATTTACACATAATTTTAAAAATGTCTACATAGTACTCCTTCTGTCGTAAAATATTGTCAGTTGTAAAATACATCTTTGATTTGATAATGTTTTCTCTTCCATATGCAACTTTTTAAGTATAATATACATTCAGAAAAGTGAAAAAAGTAAATGTACAGCTCAAGGAATTATAACAAAGCCAGCACCTCTGTAATTTGCACCCAGATCAAGAAGTTGAAAACTGCCAGTGCCCGGGAAGATGCCACCTTGTGCCACTTCCCAACATAGCTGTCTTCTCTTCTCCAGGGGTAACCACTGTCCTGCCTTCTAATGTAATCGTTTGGTTTTTGCCAGCTCTATACAAATGGAATTATAAAGTTCTTTTGTTTATACCTTCTTTTACTTAACACAGTTTTTGAAATGTATGTGTGTATAACAGTAGTTTTATTGTTTTTGACATATTCCTTTGTAAGAATATACCACCATTTATTTATCCATTTAACTTTGGCAGCCTGTTTAGGTTGTTTCTATGTTAATGCAACTATGAACATATTGTAAGTGTCTGTTAGTGCAATGGGTACATATTGCTGTTGGGCACATAGCTAGGAATGGAACTGTTTGGTCATAGAATTATTGGGTCATAGTTTAAGCTTACATTTACTTTCAGTAGATAATTCCAGAAAGTTTTCCAAAGTGATTGTACCAATTTACACTTATATTAGCACTATGAGGGGTACATTTTCTCCTCATCCTTGCCCACACTTGGCCTTATAAGTTTAATTTTAGCCATGCTGGTGGGTAGGTATTATTTATATCTCATTATTGTTTTAATTTGCCTTTCCTTGGTTATTTATGAAGTTGGACACTTTCATGTTAATAATCATTTGGATGTTCAGTTTTGTGAATTGCCTATTCAAACCTCTTTTGCTGTTGTCAAGTTTTTGTTTGTTTGGTAGTTCTTTGTTGGTTTTAAATGTTACAAATATTTTTCTCCTACTCTGTGACTTGCCTTTTCAGTCTCTTAAAAGTGTCTTTTGAACTTAATGTAGACCAATATTTAGCCATTTCCTTTATGATTAGTGCTTTCTTTGCCCGGTTTAACAAATCTTCCTTACAGCAGCATCGTGAATATAATATCTTCTAGAAGGCTTTTTTAAAGTATTTTTTAAATTTCTAGATACACAGTTTATGTGGTGTTTATTTTTGCATGGAATATTAATATTTCATTTTTTCAGTTTTCAGCACTGTTTATTGAAAAGACCACCCTTTCTCTGCTGCTCTCCAGTGTTACTTGTGTTGTAAATCATACATGTGAATCTAATCTGGACTCCCTATTTCTCTATCCTTGAGGCAGTACGTGTCTTAATTACTCTAGTTAGAGTAATTACGCTAGCTAGACCTGTCTTAATTACTCTAGCTTTATAAAATCTTTTACTGTTTGGTAAA